ACCCGCAGATGAAGCTGATGGAATTTTTGGGGGCCACGTCGAACACTTTTCGCAGATTACGAGAGGCAAGAATCTTCCCACAGAGGTAGCACGTTCGCAGTCGGGAGAGGGCAGATTTTTCACAGAGTGGTAGCACGTTCACAGACCGAGAGACGCTGCAGTTTTCCTAGAGTGGTTGCACGTTCCCAGAGCAGGAGAGGGAAGAGTTTTCGCACACAGATCACGTTCACATAGAGAGAGAGCGGGAGAACTTTTGACCGTCGCTTTTTCGCCTTATTTTCAAATTTCAGAGGAAGTAAAATGAGGGGCAGTGGCGTCATTTCATTTGTGGAATTAATAAGATTGGCCCCTTGGTCCTGCAGTGAGGTTTCAGAAAGTTTTGGGGGCTCTTTGAGATTAATTGTCTTCTGCGGTCCTACAGTGAAATTTTCCCTAAAAAGAAATTCCTCGTATCACAATTAATTCAAAAGATATAATATTTATATCAAAATTAAATTACAATACAAAAATATAAAATAATAATAATCTCCTATCTTAACCATGGAACTTGACATTTAAAACATCAGTAAATGATTCTTTTAGTTCCATGCAATGGCTTAGATTATCCTAATAAATTGAATAGAGATATATATGCTTCGAAACACCGTATATACGATGCTTGGGATATTTTTATTTGAATAGAGCCAACGATACTCTAGAAAAATTATTATAGATGCTCTAAAGTTATGCTAGAAATCAAAGGTCTATCAAATGTATCTTAGTTAGAGCTTTATGCTCATAACATGTTATAAAACTAAAAAAAAGATAGAGAAGAAGATAATAGAATTAGGGAGAATAGAAGATAAGGGTATTTCTAACTCCATTCAAAGTGCGGATACAAGATACATGCCATCTATTTATAGGTACAACTTTACATCTTTATTATAATCTATAGCTTAGAATTAGATAATAATAGGAGATAATTATGAGATACAATATAATAAAAGATATTGGAAATGATATGAGATAAAAGATAATGGGTGATATATGGGGGGGGAGGGGAGGGGACATTTTGACTTTTCTCTCCTCTAAAATTTTAACCCAGTGAGAAAAGGGGCTCATTTTTCCTCCCCTCCAACCAAACAAACCCTAAGTAAAAAAACCTTTCAACCATGACAACCCAAAAAATTATGGGACAAAATTCAGCCTTAACCCATATATTTAAAACATTATACTCTTATGATTTTAGCTTCCCCTCCCCAAATTTTAGCTTCCCTCCAAATTGGGGGGTTTGGAAGAGAACTAAGTTTTTGAACCATCATACTTTTATGATTTTTTTAATATTCTACTACTGTTTATAAAAATATATTATTATAATATTTATTTCAAAAAAATATTATCCTAAGTAAAAAAATAAAAATTATTATAATTAAAAAAATATTATAGCAAAATTAATTAAAAATAAAAAAGTATTTAAATAAAAAATATAATATTATAAAATTAATTGTTTTTTATAAATATATTATTTATTAAATATATTTTAAAGCTGAAAAAAAGATAGCCTAAAGAGAATAAAATTTCATTTTTCTTAGAGCATATAAAATTTGTTAATTTGATTATTTCAAATATTATTATATTAATTAAAATAAAAAATTACTATACCAATTTTTTAATGCACATATTAACATGATAAGACTGAATTTTCATTAAATTATATAATTTAAATTAAGATGTAAATTAATTTATATAATATATCAATAAAAAATATAAACTAATATATAAGGGTAAAATGATAAATTGATTATTACTATTCTTCCCTTCCCTTCTTGAACCAAACAAGGGATCATTAAATATCATTCCCTTTCTTCCTTTTTAATCAAACCAAACAAGTTAAGGATAAAAACTCCCCTCCTCTCTCCTCCCCAGCTTTCCTCTCCCCAAACCAAACAGTCCTTAATGTCTCTTCAAAGTGTTGAAATAAGAGCATTATTGTTATGCTCTAACAGGTAGTTAAATGAATGTTTATCCTATCGAATTTTATGACATGTATGACTCTCCATGGCTATGATTGTGCCTTCTTCTTTAATTATTTCTATCCTAAAAGTTTTCGTGAAAGGGTAATATTGGCTTTAAAATGTTAAAAAAGAAATAATATCACCCAAATTTAAAAAGAAAAAAAAAGAATATGAAATATCACAGAAGATGTAGAACAAAATACATGATTGAGATGATCAATGGCTTACCATACCCTTGCTATTAATCCATTCTCTTTCCCTTTTAACATTATCGCAAACAAGTTGAATTCGTCAAAGTCAAACCTGAATCTCTAGCTTCCCAAGTTAATTCATCTAATAAATTTTTTATGCAATTCTGATTTAATTTATATTTGGCATCACAGGTGCAGCATCATGAAAGGTGCTTAGCATGCAATCATGAGCAACAACCCTACGACGATTCCATCATTCTAATTGCAACTATGAATGTGAGTGCCATAATCATGTGGATAGCTATTTACCATATACTTCTGCCTCATGTTCTTTGGTGTTTGTTTACATATGCTTCACGATCTTTGTCATTTACTTTGATTGCGTCTTTGTCAGTCTTTCGTATGCTTTTTTTTTGCCCTTGTTCTACTATTAGACTTGGTGATATTACTCTCTCTTTTTAACACTTTCCGACAACAGTGCTTTTTTGGAAAAAAAATTAGGGCAAAAGGACTAAACAAAAGCACAGTCATGCTCACGTTGAATCATACATGGTATAAGGTCTGATATGGCAAACATCTATTTGACTACCCCTTGGCTGGGCAACTTTACTCTAGGTTAACCCTTTAATGTGACATTGAACGTTGAAAAGATTTCTAATACCAACAACTCTTAGCAAAAACTTCCAAAGTAAAATTAAACTTTAACCCTTTTAAAAACATAAATATTTAATTTAACTAAAAACTCAATATATTGAGTTTAGCATCCATATTAAAGTGTAAAAATCATGGTTTTAAGTCAACGTTAACTGTTTAGTAGTAATGTGAGTTAAAAAAAAGTACATATAAATATTACAAAATGGTACAAAAAATGACATGATCATCACCACAAGTCACCACTGATTCTATCTTCTACGACGACATTTTGGGTCACCGCTAATGCTATCTTCTACAGTGAATGGTGTCTCAGTAGCAACTAATGTCGATGACAAAAGTTAATACTATTATTATTATTTTACATTATTGTGTGGATAAATGAAATTATTGAAAGTTGCAAAATATGAAAATCAATACCTACATAAGTTATATCATTGGAAACTAATAGATTAGTTAACATAGTCTTTACACAATTATATAAAACCATCAACATAATTCAAACATCTAATGAAAGTAAAAAAAAAACAAGAAAAAACAATTGTCCTATAAAAAGATAAGTTCATTTGTTGACAAGAAAAGAAAACTAAGTTTATAGGCTAGTTGGAGGAGGAGTAGATGTAGAATTTGATTGCATCTATTGTAGCAAGACAGTCAATTGAGCTTGTATTCTCTGCTCTATCATTTGTTTCATTTTTTGCTCGAATTGTGAACGCTTTGCTTCCATCTTTTTCTCAAGTTGCACACGCTCTGCTTCCATCCTTTGCTCAAGCTGCGTATGCTCTGCTTCTATCTTTGCACGCTTTGATGCAAGATTTGCTTCTATCTTTTCTCATTCCTCATCAAATCTCCTATCAAACTCTTCTTGAAATTGGTAGCACATGTTCTCCACAAATGACTTATCAGTAGATTAAGTACGAGCTCTTTTCCATAAAGGCTTTGCTCCATAGCCTTTCCCTCTCACATACCCTGACCTCTCACCAAGGACAGCAAACAATATCTCATCAGAATTCATTCAAGCATCACTCTCTAGCTCTGACAATTGTTGTTGAATCAGATCTTGCATGAGACCCTATGAAATTAATAAAATGAAATGAAATTAAATCAAAAATATATATATAACATACATAAATCTGTCTAGAATGTAGATCCACCCGCACTAACTGTCTGTTTGCAGCCTTTCCAGTATGTGTTACCTCCCACACCTGATCAGGGGGAGCAGGCTGTCCACTTGTGGGGTTTCTCTACAAAATATAATATCCAAAAGCAACAAATAATAATATTTTTAAAATAAAAGGAAATATAAATATAAAATAAAGTGAAGGTAGATTGAACTTACTATCAAGAATTCAACTTTCGCAAATGATCAAGGGCCACAAGTATGCTTAGTCACTTGTTTTTCTCGATTTTGAATGTTTCTTATACTTTTTTGCTACGACACATTTGGCGAGTAAGCAGGATGTAATAGCAGAAGTAAAAATATGATTTACTTAAAGGGACGGTAATATACCTTGAACTTGTCAGACTGAAAATATGTCATTAACGACTCCCAATCCTGAGAGCTAATAGTTTGAGGTGTGTTACCCAGCCTCTCCTCAGTAGTGTCATATTTCTTAGAATGAGTGTGTAAGTTCGTCTTCCAATTTTTAAAGACATTTTGCATAGTAGTGATTATCATTTTTTCGAACTTCTCTTCATTTCCTATGTCAATAGGTTCAAATTTTTCCTAAAACAAACACAAATATAAATAATTAATATGAAAACATAAATAAACTAAGATAAATACAAATATGTGAAATAAAAAGTACCTTTACTTTCAAAATCATCTCATCACCATACTTGGAGTAAAGATCCTTCCACTCAACACTATCATGAAAAGATCCTACCACCAAGTTTTGCCTTTCTTGCCAAGTGTATTGGCAAGTGAACCATAATGTCAAAAAAAGTAGATAGGAAAATAGTCTCGAACTTGAACAAGTTTAATACAATTCGAGTTTGAAGCTTGTTAAGTTCTTCACATGTCAAACACTTTGAACAAAGATTCTTAAAGAATCTTCCCAATTCTATAATCAGTTCACATAATTTAGAATGTAACAATCCACATATTGCAATTGGAAGTATTTCTTGTAATAGCACATGATGATCATGACACTTCAAACTAAATATTTTTCATTCATGAATGTTCACATACCTTGAGATATTAGATGCAAATACATCAGGTACCTTCAAGTTACCTAAGAATTGGCAAAGAGATTTTTTTTTTCAAGGGACAATATGTAAGAAGCAGGAGGCATGGAAAAATTACCATGTTCGATTGGGTGCAAATGACTCCTAATACCCAAGTCCATCAAATCAAACCTATTATTCAATGTGTCTTTTGTCTTTCCAACCAAACCTATTATAGTGGACACAATATTATCATAGACGTTTCTTTCTATGTGCATCACATCAAGATTATGTCGTATTAGTAAATTCTTCCAATAAGGCAATTAAAAAAAATGCTTTTTTTCCTCCAATTGAGGGTCTCAGTGTGTTTTTGACGCTTTTGCTTCTACCCTTTCCCAAATGACACGTTTCCTAGTTTTTCTAGTTACAGAAGTGCTTGATCACTGGTTAATCTAATTGGTGGATAACCATGTTCTTCTTTTCCATCAAATGATATCTTATTTTTACGCCATGGGTGATTTTGTGGAAGAAAGCATCTATGACCCATGTAAGACAATTTGCTCCTTAGTGAAATGCAATGTGTGTCTTTATGGCAACATGGGCATGCAAGCTTGCCCTTTGTTGACCATCCTGAAAGGTTTCCATATGCAGAAAAGTCATTTATTGTCCATAAAGTTGTTGCATGCATGATGAAATTTGATTTAAAATGTGCATCATATGTTTGAACACTTACTTCCCATAGTTGTTTCAACTCCTTAATCATTGGTTGCAAGTAAACATCTATTTCATCACCTAAACACTTAGGACCAGGAATAAGAAGTGTCATCATAAAGTATGAGCTCTTCATACAAAGCCAAGGTGGCAAGTTATATAGTACTAAAACAACCAACCAAAAGCTATGATTGGCACTCATCTTCCTAAAAGGTTGAAATCCGTCACTAGCCAAACCCAATTGAACACTCCTTGGATCAGCAGAGAAGCTAGGATATTGTTGGTCAAAGTGTTTTCAAGCAAGAGAATTAGCTGGATGTCTCATTACACCATCATCTATACGTTTCTCCTTATGCTACCTCATTTCTTTAGTTGTGTCCCTTACCATATAAAGCCTCTATAGTCTAGGTGTTACTGGAAAATGTCTCAAGACTTTTTGTGGAACATTTTTCTCTTTCTTTTTTTTTTTTAATTTCCATCTAGGCATCTTGCACTTAGGACATAATTTTGCATTTTCATGCTCCCCTTGATATAATAAACAATCATTTCTACAAGCATAAATTTTGTTATAATCTAAGCCCAAATCACGAATTATCTTCTTAGCTTCAAAGAAAGAGTTTGGGATTAAAGCCCCTTTTAGGAGAATATCTTTTAATAAGACCAATAATGCATCCATAAATTTATTACTTCAATGGCTAAAGCACTTTAATTGAAATAGCTTCACAATAAAAGATAATTTTGAGATCTTACCACAACCAGGATAAAGTTTTGTTTCTGCATCTTTTAATAAGTCAAAGAACTTTTTTAGCATGGACATTAGGCTCCTCACCCTCATTTAACCCAATATTCACATCATCTATATAGGGAACTCCATATGTATCACATACCATCCTTACAAGGTTCTCCTCCTCCTCCTCAGTGTCATTTTCTACTGCATTATTATTAGAAGTCCCATAATCTGTTGAAAATCTTCTAATTTCCCCATGCAAGTCTTGCACTTTATAACTATCCCAAAAACCTTTAGTCAATAAGTCTGTCCTAACATCTCTCTTCACTTTGAATATAACATTCATAAATTTTTTGCAAGGACATCATATTTTGTTTGTCACCCCATGTTGACTAAATGCCTATTCTAGAAAGTCATCTACTCCTCTAATATATGTTAAATAGCCTTTATCTTTAATATCTAGCCTACTTTTATCCACATATATTCCTTATAAAGTTCAAGATCATCAATATTTATTTGAAATCTCATTAAAAATAAACAGGACATAATATATGAAAAATAAAGGGAAAATCAAATACAAGTTTTATGCAACACTATTATGCCTTGTATATTGGCTCAAAGGCAAAAATTTAAGAAACCAAAAAATATCTCAACAAATGATAGATTTTATTGCCAATACTAACAAGCAAAAATCAAGTCTTGCAAATATATCATATAGCCATAATTTCATCATGTGATTTAATTATTTTTAAATATTCACAGTAATGTTACATGTTATTACATAATAATCCCAAACTATTGTCTAGCCTCAACGTAGGTCAACGTAGGTGGATGTGTGTTCAGTTCTCAAAAAATGACTAATAGAGAAGTTCACTCGTCATTATTTTTTATCCAGCTGTTATTTATCTTTTTGTGTGATTCAGTTCCAAGGCTTCTCTGGGTGGGTTTCAGTTTTGTCTGTGTATAAGAAAATATGGTTTTGTACATATATAGTAGCACGTTTAGAAAGGATTCTGCAACTTTTTGCAAATTTTCTTGTTTGGCCGCTTGATTATAATACAAGGAAGCTAATTGAATATCACATACTGATGGTGTGATACCTGCTAGGAAAAATAATTGGAGAAGATGGGGGAAAAACTTCTTCATACAACTCGTGATATTGCTTTTACAAAGAGTTCTATTTCGCCACCACTTTACTAATTTCAAGATGAGAATTTTATGATATTTTTGTTTGGTACTAACTCCAAAATCAGAATTTTATTATACTTTTGTTTGACCAGACTTGTGATTCAAATGTTGCCATATCAAAAATCAAAATGAAAATACTTCCCATAAAATTTGTTGTCATTTCTCGAAGTACAGAACATTTTTTCTATAGCATTCTAACTCATTCAGCTTTAAGAGTACATAAGGTGAGACCATTACTATCAATAAGAGTCAATAATAAGTATGCACTAGAGTCAGTAAATCTACATTTTCAACTTGATAAGAAGCTCAAACTCGTAGTCCACAAGCGGCCTATCTCGGGTTACATCAAATAAAAAACTAAAAATAAGCTAATGCAATAACTTTAAAGTTTAGACACGGCCTCTCATGCTTCTTTAACCATCCCCATGCAGGAAAATCAAGACCCAAGATTCAAGCCCTTCAAATTTGACTCAAGATGGGCCTTTGTATGTGCAGGATTGAAATAACTATGAAGAGGTTGAAATTTAGAGCTAAAGAATCAATATATTACTAATATAAATCATGGATAAAGAGCAGGAAAAGCTTACAAATGCCATTACACAATTCAAGTAGCAGAACACGTACAATAACCATTAATAGCCAGAGTGTCTGAAAACTTAAACATATCATTGCCCTCTTGTTTCCCGTATACGTTGTACCCAACGACTGAAATAATGGAGAGAACTTTTTAGGGACTCTTTATGGATTTTTTTTTTCAGGTTGGGGGCGGGGGGTTAGGTTAGCAAACAGACTTTTAGGGCAGCAAGATTAACCATACAATTAAAGGGCCCAAACAAAAACTAGTTAACACCTTAGTGTAATCGTCTCTATGAGATAGGCAAGTCAAAAAACAAACTAGCAGGCAATGTTCAGAGCTTAATAAAAGAAGAGGATTATCAAGTTTTGACAATCAAATTGGCTGAACTGAAAAATAAATACATAATACATATGGAGGTGGGGGTGGCAAAGAGGGGTGATGAAGGTGCAAAAAACTTGCTTTGATGATGATGATGATAACAATAAACCCACTAACCTAGTATATTGACAACCACAGTAGCCAGCTTTAAGCCTTGAAGAAGAGAATCCTAAGAGAAAAGATAGAGGCTTCGAGAAAATACCACAAAGTAACAAATTAGATTTCTGAACGGAGTGGAGTGAGTAAAAACTTAGGATATGAGAAGTCAACTACCTTGAGAATGAAGGGGAGTAAGTGGGATATGAGGATTTAGGGTTTTCTTCTTTCATTTTTCAGAGGCCACGCTAGTTTTACAGTTTAAGAGGGAAAGGAAAAATTTAACGAAACTGGGTGCCTCAGCGAATTAAATGATTTGTTATTCCTTTTAGCTTATAAAACGTTAAAGCATAATAATAATTTAGTAAAAGCTAGCCAAAGGTGTGTGGCTTTGTTGGCGAGAAAGGCACTTAAGATTGATAGCCACGAGTGTTCGAATCCTAAAAAAAATTTTAGCCTAATATTTTTTTCCAAACAATGGAAAAACTAGAACAATCCCAAAAGCACTCAACTTTCCTTAGTAACAGAAATTTCCAGATTTGAATTATCTTCATCTCCTCTAAAACTCAACATGCAACCTGAAAAATATATGTATATACAAAATGTCCTTCAAATTCCACAGAACCCGACGCAACAATCCAAAACAGGGGCATTTTAATTTTTCCCAGGGACATCACAAAATAGAACCAAACATACGGGCAACCTCACAGCAACCTTATTGAAGCTTCTATATGACTTCCCACCATCAATTCATTTGATTCTCATGTTTTATTCGCAACCCAGATTTTGAAGCAGTCACCATCTTTTTGAGGATGCAGTAAACTGAAGGGGGGGACTATAGGAAGATAATCACGAGGCTTACCTTACGCTAAATCACCAATTGCATGCAAGAGGTTGGCCTTCTCCTTCTCTCCTTCTTCTTCGCCGTCCATTGGTTCCTCTTAACTCTGTCACTCTCTTCTTCACTTCTGCCATGAAAATGAAGAGGCGAGGTGGGCAGATGTGCTTATAGTAGCCATTAGACTTCCAGTGTAACCCTTCCATTAGTATTCCATTTGACATCATATATTTATATATAATATACAGGTACTCCCTCCGATCCTAAATATAAGACTCATTAAATTTTAATTAATCACATTTTAACAGAGGAGTACATGTGTTTCAGTAAATTTTAATTAATCACATTTTAACCAAAAAAAAATCAATAGTAGTACTATATATTTAATTAATCAACTATATACATGACTTTATTAACTATCTTTCTCACATGTACTTTAACTAATTATATTATCTTCTTTAATTATATTATTTTTTAACTCTCTCATATAGATGTTAATTGCCAAAGTGATTATTATGTTATACAAATATACCCAAACTAATTTAATTATAATCATCTCTCCCTCAGAAACTTAACTATATTATGCCTTTTAGTCATAATACCCTTCTCTCTCTCACACATACATCCTATCTCCCTTTCAGTTATATTACCTCTACTTTGCACTCTCACTACTTTCTCCTCTTTCCCACCTCACAAACATGCATCCCACTCTCATGCATGCTTCCGCTTCATTCCTCCGTTAATTCTATCTCTTACACATATAATTAAAATATATCTATTTTATACATACTAGACCCTCCCTCCCTCTCCCTTTCTCTCTCAAATACCATATTAAGTTGTCCTAAGTCTCTCTCTATCATAGTAATACAAGAAAAAATATTAGTTATCAAAGTTAGTTACATTAGTAACAAAGTTATAATATAAATGTAGTATAATTTTTTTAAGAACATAAATATAAACTCCAAAAAACTTTTAGCAGCGACATACCTTTGACAGCGACCAAAAAAAGTCGTCATTAAAAGTATCAACTTTCAGTGGCAATACAATAAAGTTGCCGCAGAAGGAGACAACTTTCAGCAATGACACATTTAGTCACCACTGAAAGTTGACCCTTTGGCGGCAACAACAGAGGTTGAAACCTTCAATGGTGACATCATAATGTCGCCACCGTTCTAGACAATTTTAGGGGTGACATTTTTGTCGCTGCTAAAAATCTAACTTTCAGCTGCAACTTTTTTTGTTACCCCTGAAAGCGTGACTTTCAGAGGCGATAAAAAAAGTCACCGCCGAAAATCATCGCGGAAAATATTTTTTTTATAGTGACATTAAGCTAACTTATATTAACCATTTAGCAGATAATCCTTACACGTTGCACAACATTCTCACTCCTACGGCTTGTTCACCTCTCCAATGTCTTTTGCCCAACACAATGATTTTACCTCCTCAGTGTTGAAGCTGTCCCTCCCTCGACTGCCTCATTTGCTATCTTTTTCTTTGATTTCTTTGTTGTCAGATGAGTTGATTAACAAGTCATCTTTAACGCCCTCTTTATCATCCTCTTCTTCGTTTCCTTCTAACGCACGGCTAATGTATAACAACAATGACCCTAACTTGTAACTCCTTATATTTGAGATAAGACAACTATTGATGAAGAAACCAAAGAAAAAGACGAGAAATGAGTCAGTTAAGGGAGGGGAACGGTAGCTTAGATATCGAGGAGGTGCAACAATTGTGCTATACAATATACGAGAACTATTTGTTAATGATGATTGTAACAGTTTTACACCATCTTGAAATCTTAATGTGTAATTTTACATTATTTTCTTGACAGACATATTTACTAAACGGTTCACGTTATACCATTTTGAAACTTTAATGTGTGTTTTTACGCCTAAGAAAACTCTGTAGTGTCATGTGTATATTGGGAAATACTTTATGAGTAGATTTGCATCTTAATCAAATCAATAAAAGTGTGCATAGCTTGTTTACTTCAATTTCAAACTCAGTAATGCAATGTAAAATTGTTATAAAGAATAGTAGAATAATATTTATTAGAAAAATTAAAATATGAAAGTTATGAAACGAGATGTTGCAAAGAAAGGGACGGTGAAGCCAAAGAGGTGGTGCATCCAAGCAGGAGAATGATGGAGGGGGATCACAATAAAGCAAGTATAAACAACATTAGAAGGAAGAGGGGAATGGAGCTGTGAACCACACGATTCGGATATTTCTTTCTTAAGATTAATTAGGTTTAATTATAATTAGGATGTGATTAAAGTTAGTTGGAATGGGTTACAAATAAGTATTGGGTGGAATTGATCTTGAGTTTTGAGAAGAAAAGAAAGGGAGCTTGTGCTTGAAGGGAAATTGAGTTCCATTAACCCAAAAAAAAAAATCAATATTAAATGCTAATAAAATATTCACAAATACTAACATATTAACTTTTAAAACTAAACGATATTAAGGTTATATGACATAAGATATACTTTATAAAATTAAAAGACCAAATTAAAATTGTTTATGAAATTAAATAATCAAATGTGCATTTTTGTCAAATTAAAATATACATATTACACGAACTTTTTTATATATTTGATTTTCCATTTTCATTTAAATTCAAATCTTAATTTCTATTATCTAAAAACACATCTTAAACATAAAAACTATTATTATATTTATTTTTATGAAAAAAATTTATACAACCAACAAAAATTCTATTACATAAATTTTTGTGCTTTATAATATGTTATAAAATTTATTAATTTTAATTGTGTCCTTAAATTTTATAATTTTAATTTTTATCACGTCCAATAAAATTTATTTATTTATTTTTTTGTAAATAGATAAAACATTTTAAAAGTGTATTTATGTTCATTATATAGTATAAATTATATAAATTTGAGATATTATATAAATGATTTTAATTTTTTAAACATATTTTTTTGCTACAAACATTCATAAAAAAACATTTAAGTAAATATTTATTAAATGAACTTATCAAATTTTCAGCCATGTTATTTTTTTGTGCATTAATTGAATTATTTAAGTTTATGCTAAAAAGATTATACAAATGATTATTGTAAAAATAAAAAATAAAATTAAGGAAAACTATAAATTATATGAAACATCGCCAAAATATGCAATACAAAATAAACACACCAATCATCATCATATATAAGTGACTATATAACATGCGTCCAATAAATTTGAATTTGATATTACAAAAGAAAAAGCAATAAAGCATAATTCAAATCCTAATCTCAAAGAGCGGCTAAATGCATTGGAGAGGCACTTGAATGAAAATTATTAGAAATTCCTCCTGACATTAGTATCTTCAAAATCAAAGGAAAAAAATCAAATTCAATAAAGTACTCCAACATATTTTGCAAAACACATCAACTGTGGTAAATTTGATGCGCATGCATTCTTTTTCACTTAACATTCTAAACAATGTCCATGATTTCATATTCTGATTATGTTAAACTTCGTTTGAATTACATAATCCCTTAAAACATTTTTATAAACACTTCATATTCTGCAAATTACGATCAAAGAGCTACTAATAAACTATTTCAAACAAACCCTTAAGCTCGTATTGATAAACAATATATCTCTTTTCAAATACAGTACAATTAGCATCGTACTTAGATTTTTTGTTTTTGGGTACATCCTTAACTATGCCAAGAATTTCAGGCTTTTCTGCATCACTACGGTTTATACAATTTTCACTGTCACCATCAATTTCAAGCTGGCTACCTTCATTGGCTTGCACATTATTCAAAAATAGAATCATCATCAATCCTTTCACTCCCCCACTTTCTTCAACTTCATTATCATCATAATCCTTCTCTTCAACATCGGTCTATAATTTATCAATAGGAGGTCAGTATTTATCACAATTATCAATATCTCCAACATGAGTTATATTATCCAAAAATGGTGAAATTATTTTAATTTGAAATAATAATAAAATATAACTAAAACATATTATATTTTCACGCAAATTACTTTAGGAATGATATATGTTAATATTTGTTCAATAAAAAAGAATTGAATGAATGATTAGATAGTGGTATATAATGGTAAAGAAAGTGTTCGTATTAATCTATTATATGCAAAGCACAAAATATAGCAATGGTTACTTCAACAAGAGAATTAAGCTTAAGTGCACATGCGACAATGCACCCTGTTGCTTTATATTGCAAGCGAAATGCTTAGATCACCAGCAGTTAATAATACATCTCGTTTTTTGGGCAGTTTGGCTTCTATGGATATTTGCAAGTTTTGCTGCTTCGTTTTCAAAGAAAGGAAAATATGTTGGATATGCAAAACAACATATTTTTAGAATCTTTTTAAAATATCCTTAATAAGGTTAACAATTTGAATTTAAGTATTTGTTTTCAAAATAAATCAGAAATCTGCAAGGAACAAAACACCGGACTGGACACTAAACCGGTTGAGGTAGTGATTCAAGAGTCAGTTGGTCGGATCGGGATCAACTCGGAACCTAGCCGGTCATATTAAAATAATATAATTTAATTAAAAATAACAAAAATAACAACATTAACAATCACTAATAACAAAATACAAGAAAATATGACAATAATTTGATTGTAACAATAACAAAGCATAACAATATTGAGGATTTTGATCTTTATGGTTCATCATTAATTAAAATTAATAATCATTTATACCAAAATTATCATTAAAATTCATTTATATTTATAGGAACTGATATATTAAGAGTTACATGAGAAAAAATAGGACTAATAACAACCTAATTATTCAAACCGGTTTATTATAGGTTCACACCAGTTTTTACCGGTTTGACCAGTTTTCTAGTGGTTCAACTCTCTCCCGGTTTAATATCTAAACCGAACATGTCCACTGATCGGTTCACCAGTTGAACTAGCCAGTCCGAACCGGTTTTTTGTTCACCGAGAATTTGTATAATTGATACAAAACAAAAAATATAGTTAAAGCATTTTACTCTAATTAATGTATCTTTGACGACTTGGAATTTAGCATAGAGTTCCATTTTTGATGAATCTGAGCATTTTCCTTGGACGCGTTGCTTGTGAGCATTTTGCTTTCCTAGAATACAAATTTAACTAGGATGTTTCTTTTTTCTTTTTTGGGTAAATAGCTAATTAAGATGTTGATCACCTCTTGTGATGCTTGTGATTAAGGTTTGAGGGAATTGTGATTTTTTAAAATTCTAACCATATCGGTAATGTTCTTAATTTTTTACAAGTCCTTGATCGCGTGGTGTATTTTCCGGGTTTCTAATTCACCAGTTTCCCTAGCGGACTAGCAGTTCATAACATGAAACCCTACCAAATTGAAACCATTAAAGCTCTTTGTAGAACATAAAGTAACTTCTGTATTTCAAGCAAATGAAACGCAATGCATTTGTCTACTTTTTCAACAAATAAAAATGTTAACTTTCGACGAAAGTAAATATATATATATAAAGGAATTTTGTCACCATGCTTTGTATGATATACAATGGAACGTAACATTTGCTTTCTGTATGATTGGTTGGATGAAGATGAAATAAAAATGAATGGAGAACGACCAAAATGCATTTTCAATCTTAGAAAGACACAAAAATCCCTATGAAATAGGGAAACCCCGGATCAGTATCCTAAAATGCTGAAATGAAAGAGAAGTCCTCAGGTACTGATTTAGGGTTACTTAATTGGGGGAACTTACCTACATGCCTTCCACTGTTTGTCTTCCTACTATCCCCTTTCATTGTTAGAAATGTGGTCGTCATTCTCTTCTTCAGTTAGCTTTGGTCAGATAAACTTCCACTCGGTTCTGGTGGCTCCTCTGGACTTGCGTTGCATGGAACTCGCTGAGCTTGTGGAGTAGGTTATGCTATTGCAGATTCTTAAGGATACTGTTGGCAGCCACTATATCACCATCTCCACTACCAGAAATAAAGAGAATGAACAGAGATGAGGCCACGGATTTGATAGGCCTTAAAAGGAGAACCAGCATTCAGACTCCGGGGTTTGTTTGGGGTGCTGCGTTTTGATTTCAGCTTGAAGTGAACAATATTAGCAGATGCTGAAATTTCTGTAACTGGCTTGCCTTACTCTTGTCATTTCTTAACTTAAACCATCAACGGCGTGACTTCAAGCTATACAATGTACGAAAAATTTATCAAGTTAATCAGGAAACATGGCATAATAGAACTGAAATACTCAGTTCTTGAGATTCATAGTATATCAATACCCTGGAATAGAAAGACCTAATTTAAGAATACAACTTAGGCGATCAACAATTTGACAGGCTAATGTAAGGTATTATTTAGAGCAAAAGCTAAACATGCTCATCTCAGCACATCACCAATCATAGAGAAGCAAAGACCTCATATCATAAGCATGCACCTTGACTTATCAACAATTTTATAGCCAGACTGAAGGCATTATCATACTAACAAAATCTGAGGACAGCATCTCGATATCCATATCTCTGCTAAACATTTTCGACCATTCTTCCATTTTCCTTCAGATTCTCTGGCAGTCGAAATTATGAAACATAAAAGGGAAAACAATCCCTTCAAAATCAAATAAAAGATGTGAGTACGAAGCACTTTTACCTTGTAGCTTGTGTACTGCAGCGTTGTCTTTGATGCATCAACTTTGGTTGAGAGGATGGTAGTAGCACATATGTAAGGAATCAGTGTGCTCCATAAGAATGGAATAATGAACCATCTTGATGACATTACCAATAATCACCACATGAACATGAACCGTTTTTAAAATGATGGAATCTATTGATATCTCTGATAATAATTTCCCTTGAAACAATTTTACATAAAAACTTGAAAAAGGTGTGGCAGTCCATGCAGACTCGTAGATTCTTCTTAACCCTTATTGGGGATCCTGGAGGTGTAGCAATTAATCCAAAGACTACAGCCAGTTTCTCACTATGGTGAAATAAGAGTTGCTCCTTTTCACTTTGGTTCACATTATGTAGATCAATCTCTACGATGGGACTATAACCGGCTTTGCTTAGAAGGCCACATAGCTCATCCAGTTTAGCATATATTTCAGCACTTCTATAATGGCTTCTATCCCCAACAATAAAGGTGTACACTTTGTCCTTGACCTCGATCCAACTCATGCCAGGCTCCTTCTTAACCTTGCTGTCCTTCATAAGCTTTCTAACCTTTGCAACATTTTCCCACATCCCTGCTGATGCATAGATATTTGCAAGAAGAACATGGGTACCAGATTTCTCAGGCTCAATAGCCAAAAGCATTTCAGCAGCTTGTTGACCAAGTTCTACATTTTTATGAATTCTTGCAGCTCCAAGAAGTGCCCCCCAAACTGATCCATCTGCTTCAAATGGCATGGATTTTACAAGCTCAATTGCTTCATTTAATTTTCCTGCTCGACCAAGGAGATCAATCATGCAAGCATAATGCTCTTGCATTGGTTTAAAACCAAACATCTCCTCCATTTTCTCGAAGTATTGCTTTCCCTCATTTACCAAACCAGCATGATTACATGCACAAAGAACACTAACTAATGTTATTTGATTGGGACTCACACCTTCTTCAAGCATTTGACTAAACAATTGAAGAGCCTCCTTCCCATGACCATGTTGTGCCAACCCTCCAATCATAGCAGACCATGAGACTATTCCTCTTTGAGGTATCTCAGAAAAAACACGATTAGCATCCTCTATACTTCCACATTTTGCATACATATTAACTACAGAATTGCTTGCAAAAATATCAGACATAAATCCAAACTTGAGAGCATGAACATGTAATTGTTTCCCTTGCTCATATGCTGACAAATTTGCACAGGCATTCAAAAGAGAACTGCAGACAAATGAATCTGGCTTGATATCTGCATCTTGCATTCGCGAATAGAGTTTTAGTGCCTCTTCTCCATCCCCATCCTGAGAGTACGCTGTTATCATGGATGTGTAAGCCACCAGATCTTCACACGTGCATTCTTCAAATATTTTTGAAGCTTCATCAATATGATTACATTTTCCGTATGCGTCAAGAAGACTATTTATGACATAAAAATCTGAATGAAGTCCAGATTTGATGGAAAGTGTATGAATTTGCCTGCAAACATCAAGTACCTGTATACTAGCCACAGATTTAAGAACTGTTGACAAAGTAGTTTGGTTATAAACTACATCCTCCTTGTACATTTCAGCAAAAATGGACACTGCTTCTAAGTCTTCTCCACATTGTGAGTAACCAGAGATCAAAGCATTCCATGCAACCAACTCCTTTTTTACCATTAAGTCATAAGCTCTCCTTGCATCATCCATCATTTCACATTTAGAATACATGTCTACTAGTCCTGCGGCCACAAACGAATCTGAATCAATATCTGTCTTTATCAAACCAGAGTGCAACTGTCTACCCAAGTCCTTGAACCCCATTGCGGCACATGCCTTTAGAGCACTTGATACGGTGAACATATTGGGACAAGTTCCCGCCCTTTTCATCTCACCAAACAATGCTAAAGCCCAATCATGACACTCATGAAGAACACAACCAGCAATAATTGCATTCCAAGAAATAATATCAGGATGTGCAATTTCTCTAAAAACTGCAATTGCATCTTCAATGTCCCCTCCTTTTGAGTACATGTCAACTAGAGCATTTGCAGAAAATAGATCCAGATTGTAACCCAACTTTAGCAAATACGCATGAACTGTCCTTCCATGATTGCCATCTTGCAATCCTGCACAAGCATTTAATATGATTGAAAGGCTAAACTCATTAGGCCTTATTCCACTCTGAACCATTTCTCTAAACAAATCCACAGCTTCTATACCCAAATCACTTTGCACATAGCAAGAGAGCAATGCATTCCATGAAACAACATTTAGTTCTATAATTGAGCCAAATAGTCTCCTAGAATCACCAAGCTGTCCACATCTTGCATACATAACAACCAAAGTATTTGTAACAAACACATCAGACTCAAACCCTGTGACTATTGTCATACCATGAACCAATTTCCCCAAATTCAAATCTTTCTTGATTGAGCACGCCTTAAGAACACTTGAAAAGGTAAACTCATTGCATTTAATATCCAACATTCGCATCTCAGAAAATGCTAACAAGGCTTCCACCCCGAGCCCATTTTGTGCATATCCAGAGATCAAGGCAGACCAAGAAACCAAATCTGGTTCTGAATTTTCTTCAACCAGCTTCCGGGCATACCCAAATTGTTGAGACTTGGAGTACAAGGTTATCAAATAATTTTTAAGACTTGGATTTTGAGATGAACCAAACTTAATCATGTGGGCATGAACAACCATGCCTGAGGTTACAGATTTGGAAGCAATACATTGTGACAAAAGATTTGAGTAAGATACGAAGCTTTGAGTAGAAATTTCTCCAGCCAACTTCTGGGCATACCCAAATTGTCGCCACTGGGAGTACCATGTTTTCAAATGATTTCTGAGACTTGGAATGTGAGGTGATCCAAACTTAACCATGTGGGCACGAGCTTCCATGCCTAAGGTTACAATCTCGGAAGCAACGCATTTGACAGGAACTTTGAGTAGGAAGTAAAGACCCTCGTCTCAAAGCAGGGAAAGCTTAACATAGCAGCATTAGTTTGCATAAATTTAGGGGAGTAGAAAAATTTAGATGGTGGTTTAAGCAGTGGTTGAAGAATAGGGTCTTGGAAGTGGGAAAAAAGTTACAAAGCCAGAACTTCATAGTACACTTGACAACCGGACATGAGAAGAATTGAATTACCTCATGCCCACTGGATTTGTTAGGCAAGGCATCCTATAATAGATCAAGCTATTTAAGTGACAAAACATAAAATATCTCCAACTTCCCCACGTACCCAGTACATAATAGAAGAATTAGTGCTCTCAGATCACAACTGCGTATCTTCAGACATTCAATCAGAGGCAACTTCTGCATACAAAATAGCCGAGGCCAACAATAATGGGAAGCAAAAGATAGGGTTAGACTTCAAACTTGATAGCCATAGCCAAGAATCCAGAAAGGAAATAGCAGAGTAAATGACAACAAAATATCAGACGATGACTCCATGAATTTCTGAAGAATGTCAATGCACATTCAAATAACAGCTAAAACAAGTACGAGAAGAAATGGGGTTTCCAGTTCCAAGTGGGAAAAGCTTCCAATAAGAAACGCAAAACATGGTTCGCCCCAAAATTGCTCATGCCAGAGATGCCCATCATAAAGCATTGCTCAGCAAAGCAAGGTGCCTGCGAAAGTGTGATACAATATGATACACAATTGGACTGTTTTAACAGCAATATGATACTGAAGAAAAAGTGGTGCTTGCCAAGGAGGGGGAATACTTTAACAGTACTATGATACAGAATCCTTTTTCAATTCACAGGATCCAGTCTAAAATAGAAATATCACATACAACCATTTCAACAGCAATACAATCTAGACAATATAAACATATATAGCAATAGGCTTTTCGACTGAAGAAAGAGGGAACGAAGGGTTAAAAAGAAGGCTGAAGCTATAGAGAAGAATGAGAGTGAAGAGTCACATAGATAAACGAAAAAGAACCTGATCATGGCGAGGCTGTGCAGCACCGCCTCACCGACGGCGAACGACGGTGGACAATCTGAGACTAGGGATTTGCAAAATTCAGGACTTTACTCAACGGCTAAGATGATAACTAAATGGACGGTGCAGATGAGACAGTGCGTTCTAGGTGACGTGGCAATGCAAGAATTTCTCATCAGCCCAAGCAAATATTCCCTCCCATCTTTTTTTTTTTTAAATAATATCTCAAAGCTTAGCACAAATAAATTAAAAATTATAATATTTCAATTTAGGTACTTAAAAAGTCAAAACTTTAGGAGAGAAAGTGACGTCTAATATGATATTTTGCAAATATAATTAAATAACTGAAATTTCCTTGCATAAGTTTTTTTAAAAAAAAAAATAAATTAATCATTGTGAGTATATTTCTTGTTATTGGTTATTCAACACTTGTTATTATTAGTCATTATTTGTATATTTCTTGTCATTTGTTATTCAATACTTGTTATTGTCAATTCACCACTTGTTAATAAACTTTTTGGTACAAGAGTATTTTTGTCATTTGACTATATTTACAAAATGTCATATCAGACAACATTTTCTTTTTTAGGTTTTTGATCTTTTAAATGTTTGAATTGAAATATTATAATTTTTACCTTCTTTTAATGTCATTTTTTCTTCTGTTTATAGTGTTTGAACAATGAATACTCTCTTCACTCTATAATAGAAATTGCATATAGAAGAATGACTTGGTTGAAAATATAAGTAAGTAAAAGATTAATTAATACTATTTTTTGTTAATATTATCCCATAACCAAAGTTTAAAGGTAACTCCTTATATTTTTCTCTTTTCTTCGTAACCTCATTTAATATGGATAAAAAAAAAATCTCTTTTACTGCTTAAATGTGATTTTTTTCTCATTTACTAAAGTTTTTTTTTTCAAGTTCTATCATGCAACGAAAAAAGAGAAAATGCTTTAAAATCTCAAAATACCTAAAATTAAGATATTCTAAAGTTACAAAAGAGTAAATGTGCATCTAACATCTTGATCTTATTTCTGGGTGCATCTAACAAACAAAAGAAAATGATTTAAAAAATCTCAAAATATCTAAAACTAAGATATTCTAAAGTTACAAAAAAAATAAATGTACATCCAGAACCCTGATCCTATTTTCTGAGTGTATCCAACGTCTTGATCTTTTATATGGTGCATCCAACACTCTCATCTTATTTTCATTGTGCACCCCAATTTTTTTTTTGTTACATCTGGCATTCAATTTTTAGGATGCTGGTTGTATTAAAAATAAAATTAGAATACTAGATATAACAAAAATCAAAATGACAGCCGCGATATACAAATCAGGATGCTGCGCCTTTATCCGTCGCTAGTTTTTCCAAATAAACAATTTTTAACCCAAATGAGGGGGCAGGTCAGAAGACCAGACAAAAGCGCTTTACGATATGGCAATCTAAAGTTCTCATCCTTCCACCCCCTATGTTCCTTAATTTTCAGATTAAGGTACGCCGAGCAGGGTGGAATTTGCCGTCAAATGTGCACAGTACTTTAAAATATTACATGATTTGTCCAGCATCATGAAGTCCTTTTTAGGTCCAACGTCTTAAAATATTTATGATGTAATTTTAGTTTTAGAGTATTAATTTTTTTTTCAGAAACAATTATACTTTAAAGTATTATTTCATGATCAATTTTAACTTTGTCATTAACTTTAGTCAACGGCTAAGATGATAACTAAATGGACGGTGCAGATGAGACAGTACGTTCTGGGTGACGTGGCAATGCAGGAATTTCTCATCGGCTCGAGCAAATATTCAGGAAAATTTTGATTAAGAACCGCAGTTGAGAATTTATTTCAAATAGTTTCCAAAACATTCTGACATGTCACTGTAAGACCAAAAGACCAAAGTGAAATTAAAATTATGAGTAAGATTACAATAATACCTCTCACTTTTATTTTTCAAAAAATAAATATTAATGGTCGTCGGAATTCCAGCCATCGAAAGTTGAAGGTTCAGCCACCGGCGCTCAGGTGGCCACCATCGAAGATGGGAGCTCCGGTGGCAGCTACTGTAGCTCCAGTGGTCGGAATTTTTTTTTTAAAAAAAATAAGGTGCCTAAGGGAAGGTTTAAACCCATAACCCTTAGCACACTAAAAGTGATATGACCACCAAGCTAACCAAACCATTTAGTTATATGATGCAAATAAAAATACATATAACAAAACAAACACAGGTATCCAAATGTAATGAATAAGTGAAATTTGACGATTTATAAGTGAAATTCAGTAATTTACAACAAAAATTTGATGATTTACAAATAACATAATGGAATTTACAACTTTAAATGCAAGTGTTTAAATACAAATGAGTAAGTGAAATTTGAATATTTACAACAAAAGTTCATAAATTTACAACCCAAATTTGGCGATTCACAAAAAATAAAAAAGAATTCACAATCCAAAATGTAAATGTTTGAGTATGATCGAACAAGTGAAATTTAGCGATTTACAACAATAATTAAGATATTTACAACCAAATTCAGCGATTCATAAGAAACATAAATACTTATATTTGAAGTTATGAATTCTCTTATTAGTTTTGTAATGCTTATGTTTCTTATGAATTACTGAATTTAGCTTGTAAATAGCTGAATTTCACTTGTTTATTTACACTCAAACACTTATATTTTCGGTTGTGAATTTTCTTGTATTTTTTGTGAATAGCTGAATTTGGATCTCAAATTCATGAACTTTTGTTGTAAATCTTCAAATTTCATTTGCTCATTTATACTTAAACACTTATATTTTGAATTGTAAATTCCATTATGTTATTTGTAAGTCGCCAAATTTTTGTTGTAAATTGTCAAATTTCACTTGTTCACTTACATTTCGACACCTGCGTTTGTTTTGTTATATATATTTTTGTTTGCATCATATAACTAAATGGTTTGGTTGGCTTAGTAGTCACATCACTTTTAGTGTGCCAATAGATCATGAGTTCAAACCTTCCCTTGGCCACCTCATTTAAAAAAAAAAATCCAGCCATCAGAGCTACCACCTCTGGCGGCAGCCACCTAAGCACTGGTGGTCGGAACTCCAACAATCATTAATATTTATTTTTTAAGAAAAATAAAAATGAAGGGTATTATTGTCATCTTACTTTTAATTTTAATTTTAGTTTGGTCTTTTGGTCTCGCGGTGACATTTCAGAATGTTTTGGGGCTGTTTGAAATAAATTCTCAACTGCGGTCCTTAATCGAAATTTTCTCCAAATATTCCCTCCCATCCTTTTTTTTGTTTAAATAATATCTCAGAATTTAATCAATTCATGTACTTAAAAAGTCAAAATTTTAGGAGAGGAAGTGATACCTAATCTGATATTTTGCAAATATAATTAAATAACTAAAATTTCCTTGCATAAGATTTTTTTTTAAAAAAAAAATCAAACTAGTCATTGTGAATATATTTTTTGTTATTGGTTGTTTAACACTTGTCATTATCGGTCATTGTCTGTGTATTTTTTGTCATTTGCTATTCAACACTTGTTATTGTCAATTCACATCTTGTTAATAAACTTTTTGATACAAGAGTATTTTTATCATTTGATTATATTTGCAAAATATCATATTAGACATCACTTTCTTTTTTGGGTTTTTGATCTTTTGAGTGCCTAAATTGAAATATTGCAATTTTTAACTTCTTTTAATGTCATTTTTCCTCCTGTTTATAGTGTTTGAACAATGAATACTCTCTTCACTCTGCAATAGAAATTGCTTATGGAAGAATGACTTGGTTGAAAATATAAGTAAGTAAAAGATTATACTCCTCCGGTCTTTAATATAGGACCCAATTATTGAGTTGGTTTTGGTCTTAAATATAAAACCCATTTATCGTATTTATCAATTTTCTCTAAATTACCTCTATGGATACTCCCTCAACTATAATCAAGTAGAAGAGAGAGAGGGGATATTAAGAAAGATGATTATGGTGTTTTAAGAAAAACGTGTCACATTTCTTATAATTAACTAACTTACCTAACTTTCTTAATATAATCAAATTAGTTAAATGGGTCTTATATTAATGATTGGAGGAATACTATTTTTTGTTAATTTTATCCCATAACTAAATTTAAAGGTAACTCCTTATATTTTTCTCTTTCCTTCATAACCTCATTTAATATGAATAAAAAAAAATCTCTTTTGCTGCTTAAATGTGATTTTTTTTTCTCATTTACTAAATTTTTTTTTAAAGTTCTATCATGCAACGAAAAAAAAAGAAAATGATTTAAAATCATTAAGATATTCTAAAGTTACAAAAGAGTAAATGTGTATCTAGCACCTTGATGTTACTTTTTGGGTGCATCTAACAAACAAAAGAAAATGATTTTAAAAAATTTCAAAATATCTAAAATTAAGATATTCTAAAGTTACAAAAAAGTAAATGTACATCCAGAACCTTGATCTTATTTTTTGAGTACATCTAATATCCTGATCTTTTATATGATGCATCCAATACTCTCATCTTAGAAAATGATTTTAAAAGCGGTTTTGTTACATCTGGCATCCAATTTTTAGGATGCTAGTTGTATTAAAAATAAAATTAGAATTCTAGACATAACAAAAATCAGATTGCCAACTGCGACAGACAAATCAGGATGCCGCGCCTTTATCAGTTACTAGTTTTTCCAAATAAACAATTTTTAACCCAAATGAGGGGGCAGGTCGGGAGACCAGACAAAACCGCTTTACACGTATTGCAATCTAAAGTTCTAATCCTTCCATCCCCTATGTTCTTTAATTTTCGGATTAAGGTATGCCGAACAGGGTGAAATATGCCGTCAAATATGTACGGTACTTTAAAATATTATATGATGTGTCCAGAAGATCTTAAAATATTTTATGATGTAATTTTACTTTTAGATTGTTAATTTTTTTTCAGAACCATTTACACTTAAAGTATTATTTCATGACCAATTTTAACTTGTCATCAACTTTTCAAAACTCTATTAATTGAACGTATATCAAATAACATAAAGTAGCATATTTTAGGGTATTGGACAGATCTGAAAAGATATATCTAATTATTAGATGAACTACAAAATACTTTATGGTATATGATGCACTTAAACAAATATTTTAGGGTGTTGAAAATACCACAAAATACTTTAAAGTACTTGACTCATTTAACAAAATACTTTAATATGGCGCATGCACCTTAATCCTTAATTTTTGGGCATAAGACGGCTAAAAGGAAAAGCCAAGTGGGGATTAGGTCCCATACAATCTTTGTCGCATGCCGTCTGAAGATGAGGCAGACAATCACGGAAAATAGAAGAGCAGAACAAGTCCACATTTGCTAAGGCTTTGTTTGGATTTCCGTTGAGACAAAAAAAAAAAAAAACAGTGTGAAATGTTAGTTGGTGGGTTATTTCAACATTCGTGTGTTTTTGGGGGGGGGGGGGGGGAATACAGTACGGTAAAAGCAAAAAAAAAAGAATTGCGCCTTTTCAAAACAAATGAGGATGAAAAGAAAGAAAAGGGTACTTAAGTGGGTTAATCTAAATAAGTCTCAATTTTTCAAACTAACTTTTGTAAAATTAATCCAAACATAAATTAAATTACACTATCTGATTTTTAATCCTAATTAAAATTTTTAAAAATCAACTGAAATAAAAATTATTTTTATCAATGTTAATCTAAACACACTGTAAGATGTTTTCAAGGTTCCAAGCGAGCTGCAGTCCTTACGAGCCCAATCCTTAGCTTCAAAAACATTGCAATGTCCCAACAACTGATTAAATCCAACAATTCAGTTTTCTTTATGATCTCTAATAACTTCTCCACATCCTACCTTATAGGGGTTGTGTATGGATTAGACTACACCGAATTTGTTATCAACCCGAAGTCTTATCTAGTAAAAACCTCGAGCTGAAAAATATAGCCCGAGGTCTGGTTCAATCCAGTACTAACCCGAGGTCGGGTTGGACTGGACTTGGTCCTCTGGACTACCTGAACCAATCCAGATAGTCCAGGACCTAAATTTATTTTTTTAAAAAAAATTTCTTCAATAGAAGGCAAGATTATAACTTACTATATAAAATTTTGCACATATTTTAATCCAAAGTTCATCAAATTTGATCATTCCCTTTCAATTTCCCAATAATGTCATGTTTTATTAATTACTCCTCATTAATATAGATCTTATATTGTAGAAAATATATACGCATGCTCATTACTTAGGAAGTTAATAGATAAATCTTGATAATTTAAATAGATAAAAAAACTTCTATAGAAAAATTAAATCAAATTAAAATTATATAAATAATAATTTAAAAAAACTAGGCTAGACTAGACTGGACCAACTGGTCTGGAGGGGCCAGTTCCTAGTCCAGTCCAGCCTGATGAGACTAGTTCAGTCCAGTCTGATCCAGTCTTGTTTCAGACTAATTTTTTCTGAACCAGATTGGACCAAGTTTGCTCGAGTTGGACCGGATCATACCAGACCACCAGGTTTTTGCACAGTCCTACTGCCTTACATCCTGCCTTGTTAGGCGAAAATGAAACAATACCATCAATGTTAATTTTAAAAGCATTAGCGAGAGAGGTTTTACCATGCCACTCTAGCTCTTAATATAAGTTATTTATAATATATTTTCATACATAAAAAATGTATTAAATTGACAAAATTTTCTAATTTTGCCCTTATTAAAGTTTTAGTCCTCTCTATATACATTTATAAATCATTCTCATTACCTTTCCATTCTCTCTTTCTTTCAGATGAGAATTAAATAAGTATACCATTAAAATATAAGCATTAAATATACTGCAAGCAACTTATATTTAGAACTAAAATTTTTTCTTATAAATGACCTTTTTTTAACAAACCTATAAATGACTTTTATTTGGAGCTAGAGTGATATACATTTCCCTAAGTAAGCTCTTTAGATTGGCTTATTAACAACATGAATTTTTTTAACTATATTTATTAACTAATAATAATAATAATATAATCTGACTTACACCAATAATAATTCTATGTGTGTGTATTTATATATATTGTGTGTGTATTTATATGTTTATAATATATATATATATATATATATATATATAGATCATCTTATCATACTCAAACTAGCCCTTACAAAAATAGGCATAGTTCAACAAGCTTGGTTACAGGCTTGAGTTTCTTGGTTTGGTCAAACAGTACTGAGAATATAAGCCAACCTGATCTTTGGGGGCAATCTTACAAAACCTCAGGCTTAAAGGAACTAGCCTTATAAGGTTGAAATTTCATAAATGTCTTTTTTTGTTAGGCTTAACCTTTAAAATGGCATGCTCAAAATCAGTCCATCGGCTTTCGGCCTATTTAAAGAAAAATATATAATTTTTTATATTCTCTGCATGTTTCATTGAAAAAATAAAAAATAAAGCAATAAAATTAGTAATAAAAAGCATGAATATGAATAAAATTAAGTCACAAAAACAAAACATCGTCATATCCAAACATTCATCAATATTCAAGAACATCTAAACCATCCATGAACAAGACAATAACATCCAAAAATTTTATCAACGATATAAATGTGCAATAAACAAATATTATCATAAATTTTTTGAAACTTCGCTATCACTATCATTAAGTGCTCTTCTTTATGAGTATGCTCTTCTTTAAAGGCAAAAATGTCAAGCTTTTCTTCACAAAAAATTTTACTTTTAAATTTTACAATTTAGCTATTATTTTATTTTAATTTGAGATAAATTATCATTGAAACTCATAAATTTCTAATTCAAATTATAGAATCACAAGTTATATAAGTATAAATATATTCTCTTATCAAATATATATAGTTTTAAAATATCAACAAATATAATATAAATCAAATTATTATTAAATTCTAAATTAACCTATTTTTTTTAAATTTAATTGAACAAATCATTGTCCGAAACTAAATAAATCAAACCATTTTATAAAATTTAATTAAAAAAGAATAATAATAACTGAATATTTGAAATATTATTAATAATAATAATATAATAATAATATTAGCATTATATAAAAAAAACTAAAAAAGACAAAAAAAATTATTGAAGGCTATAAATTGGCTAGCTCTCGCCCCTATATGACTAACCTGTTTAAGCCCTCAGCTCCATAAGGCTAACCTTTTTAAATTATTTATCATTTAAAGAGAAAAATTATAAACTCGGCCCTCACACTTTTTAGGCCTAAACTGACATGCACAATTCAGCCCATTTTCCCAACCCATGGTCAAGCCATCTTTCTATAGAGGTAAGGCTGAGCTCAGACCCCAACCTAGACCATACCCTTTGATTGGCGTTTTTTTGACCTCTCACCAGAGGTCTAATATTTCATCTATCGCTTATTATAAAATCTGAATGACTGATGAATCACATGTGGTTGACAAAAATTATTAAAGTTAGTTAAAAATATAAATATGTATAGTATATTTTTATTTTCCAATTATGCTTATAGGTGGGTAAATAAGACAGTAATAATATGAAAAATGATGAAAGAGATAGTATGAAAAAAATTAAGAACATAATTAGTAAAAATGTATTTATTTAATGCTCAAATAATCTGATATTGACCGTGTAAAAAGGGATAGAGTGGTTCAAAATTTTGGATTTTATAAAAGAAATAGATGGGTAAAGTACTCTTACGATCCTTAATATAGAACCTAATTGTTGAGTTAATTTTGATTCTAAATATAAGACCCATTTCTCATATTTATCAGTTTTTCTAAATTGCCCCTATGAATACTCCCTCAACCATAATCAAGTAGAAGAAGGAGATGTGGTATGAAGAAAAATGATTATGGTGTTTTAGAAAAAACGTGTCACATTTTTTATAATTAACTAACTTACCTAACTTCCTTAATCTAATCAAATTAGTTAAATGAATCTTATATTAAAAACCGGAAGAGTAGTATTTATATAAGTTTGAGTAAAGTAGTATTTACATAAGTTTCTTATATTCATTAGATTCTCTAATCAACACATGTTCATGTATCATATTTTACTTATTTACATGTGATTGGAAAAGTGCAACTGGGCGGAGCATTTTCTCAGCATCAGTGCCAGCTCCCACAATTACATGCATGTACGGACGTGTCAGCCTCCAAATTTGATACTCGCACATCCTTATCTGTTACGTCGGCCATGAACAATTTTGTGAAGATCAGCGACGACAAAAGCCACTAGTTCCTCTCTCTCTCTCTCCCTGCCATTTCCCCATACCCTTCATCTCATCATCTTCCTCCATCACGCACCAGAACCCGATGTGATAACATATATATATATACACATATACATACAAATACATATATAACAAGAAGCCGCCCAATAATATATTCCCGATCCAAATCTTCTGTCGTTTACCTCCCCACTCTTTCCAATATGCGGCACGCCGTTTCCGTCACCCTCCCTCTATATATACCCCACATCCTCTCCCCTTCTTCCTTCACCAAGACGCAAAATTAACAAACACATTCTCAAAGCTTTCTTCGACATGGTGTTCATGATGCTAAACTCACCCGCCGTCACCCTGGCGACTTTCGTCACCGTCCTATTGGTCCTTGTTACGGCGTCGGATGGGAGGGTTATGATGGTGGGGGAGAAGACGGACATGGGAGACGTGAGGAGGAACAAGGAGGTGCAGGAGCTGGGGAGGTTTTCTGTGGACGAGTACAACGAGAGAGTCGGAGTAGTTGTAGTGTCACCAAAAGACGCCGTTTTTGCCGGAGGTGACTGCCAGAACGGAGTCCTAGGAGGACGGAAGAAGAAGGTGGAGTTCATGAAGGTGGTGGAGGCAAAGAAGCAGGTGGTGGTTGGGACGAAGTATTACCTGAAGATATGGGCTGTGGATGAGAAGGGACGTTACAGAGAGTTCGATTCGGTGGTGGAAGTGAAGCCATGGCTGACTCAGAATGCTAAGCAGTTACTTAGCTTTGCTCCTTCTCATACTAAAAGAGATCAGAAAGTTAAAGATGATGAAGATGATGATGTTCTTAGTGATGAATCTGCGTTGAATAAGAAGCTTGTCTCAAGTATGTAGGATGCCTCTCACGTTCTATATGTATATCGTCACGCAGCTTTGCTGCTTATTCTTCACTGTCTTTTTTCCTTTCATGCCAAAATTTGTATTGCGGGATTTGTAATTGAATGAGTTTTACATTTTCAATAAATTTCTTTTGCTACATTCATATGTTCTTTATATTTCTTTAAAAAAGAACTTGGATGATCTGATAAAGATTACATAATCCTTATCGAGATGTGGAAAGCAAAAGACAATAATCCACCCATCTATGAAATGAGAGCTGGGAATCAAATATATTCTTTTTATTTAATTTAATGAGTAATAGAGGTAGATATCAGAGTTTATATAAATATATATATATATATATATATATATGAGAATAGTTAGTTTGTAAATCCTTATAATTTCACTTGATTTTTTATAGGCTTCTGTGGTTGTTTTATTGAATTTTACAATTTTTCAAATTATAAACATTAGACTCTATGCTCATAATATGGTAATTAAAGTTGATACTAAACGACATGTAGGTTGTCACAAAATACAAAATTTTAAAAATTTTAAAAATAAAATGATAGAATGAATTTATTTGTTATCATCGTATAAATAAAAAAATTATAATTGTCTCCTTGCAACTATATACATAACTTGTATAATTTTGATTTTATTTAATTCATGTAGTAAAACTAATCTAGATATTTATTGAGTATAATTCGTGTCAGCAACTACTAACCTTGTTTCTTTACTAATTAATAGTATAATAATGTATAATTAATCCAAATTTTATTCACAACACAGCTAAATATAATTGGTGATTTCAGCTCAACGAGTCCTTTCTTTCGTAATAAACTGTTGACACCAGTTCTACATTTTGTCTCTTTGGACCGAGGAGAAAAGGAGCTCCGCGGGAAGAGGATTGCAATATAAGAGAAGTAAGAAGGTCAACCTCTTTCAAATATACAATATGGGTTCTAGCAATGCAATATTACAAATTCTTAAGAGCAAGCCTAAGCCCTTAAAGAAAATGTGTTGTCAACTTGTCATACTTCAACATTCCTCTTAGAAAAATCTGTTCTGGTCTTGACAGATAGGGCACTTTCAAATTTTGATCTTAACCCTCATAATCATTGCTCTAAGATGTCCTTCCTTCATTTTACTTTTGCCCCAGGCTTGCAAACGTGTTCTCTCATACTTTGCTTTTTACATCATCTATTATGCATTGGAGGTTCAAAAAGTCAGAAGATTTATGCCATAGAATGGAAGTATAAATATTAAAATTGATGGTGATTGTTCGATTATTCATACAATTACACCGAAATTTAAACAAATTTTCCCTTACAGAATCTAAAAAGTGAGCTTCATTATGCCATATATTGATATGTTGGTGATTCTTGCCCACAGATTATTGCATGTGATTAGTCATTTACCTCCACCTCTTCACCTGTTCCTTGAATTCCACAAGCAATGAAATTCCTCTCAGATCCAAAAACCTAAAAAGAAAAACAAAAAACAAAAATATTTTGGGCAACTTATGGATATTTGCATCCTTTGTATCCATTCAAAGCAATGTTCAACAATGAATATTAGCAACCAAAGTAATGGTCCCAGAAACAGCTCCTTGGTATCCAACCAAGGTAATGCCCAACGATGAATGTTTGCGAGGTAAAACCATTCTCATAAGCAAAAGAAAAATTTGCTAAGCTCTCATTTTCATTTGCTTCTCCAGCTATTTTGGGCCACTTGTGTACTAATTCATCATGGCTTCACCTTACAAACCTCTACCTTGAATCCACAATCCATAAGCTGAAGCAGCCAGGCTCGCTGCTGTTCGGAGAGGCGATCTTTGGGACCTTTAACTTCAACAAGCTTGGCCTCACCACTGTGTTCCCCATGGAAACGCCATAGCAGTAAATCTGGCATTCCACTGGACCAGCTCTGATAGTCTTGAGCAAATAGTCTGCAGAGAGAGGCCAAACAGGGTCCTCCGACACACGCAACAGCAGCACGAAGCTCATCTAAAGAATGGCAATCCCAATTGACTCCCCTACATCTCGTACCATAATGTGTTTCCCATGATTTTATGAGAAATTCCTCAGCCATGCCATCATGAATTTGCCGAAGATGAGATTCTATGATACTCTTTCTCGCTGTATAAAATCCATCCGTGACAAGATCCAAAGGTGCAATCTGTAAATTTGAGGAGCTTTCAATCAGATTACCAAGTACGATTTAGAATGAAATAGCCACTCTTACAATTGAAGAAATATCAAATAATTCTTAAGTTTCTTGAAGTCATAGGAAGCATACATACACAAGGGAGAAAGGAACTGATCTCCCAATCAATCCCAATAAGCCATGTTTTTCTTCCTCAATTCATAGAATTCAGGGGCGGTAAGTTTATTTAAAGAGAAAAGAGAGAGAAAGGAAAGAGAATGTGCATAAGTGGGCTAGATACTCTCCCGCGCGTATTTACCCTGAGTTTACCCCAAAATTAAGGGTATCCATTCTTCATTTATCAGGGAAACACTGTCACTAAATTACTAGCTCACATGGTTCATGAGATTTGAGTGTATGATGGTTCGAGGATTTTTTACAACGGGTCTAGGTAGTGAAGGGACGATGAATTTGCAGAAACTCGGGTCGAGAGACTCTGGCCTGTTAAAAGTCAGTGGTGTCTACTTTTCTTTGTTATTCTCACTTGTTACTATTGTAATTCAGCTAGTTTAACTTCCTGACTAATTCTTGGTTAATGCAGGAGTATACTACCTCTTATTCTCAATATAAGAGTTAGTTAGAGATTCAGTTTAGTCTTAAATATAAGACCCCAATATACTTTATCTTCAATATTTATTCATTTTGCTCCTAGGTAATCCTTGTAGTGATTACACATGTTAGAGAGTTTTTATCAAAAGTTAATTCCAATGCACATAATTAATAAAGGCATTTTAGAAGAGACAACATCCATTTATTACAAATAACTAATTTTCTTAATATCCAAAAATTAGTTATCCAGCTCTCACATTAAAAACCGAATGTGGTATAATACTATTCTTCCCGAAAGTTCCATCAAGTAACTGGGACCAAAGACCAATACAGTGTAAGATGAAGAAAAGATGGAAAGTTTAATTACTCCAATAAAATGTACCTGAAATCTATTGTAGAAGACATTTGGTACATCTGCAAATATGATGTGCCACATAAGAAGCCCAAAAATGGTCAGCCATATACCACTTTCTGTATGAACACCCTGCCATCCGCCTCCCATCCCAACGTAATAACGCAAAGCAAGCTGCTCCACTCCACACTGCTCCCCCTCTTCATTATAGAACCTGCTCTTAGCACCCAATTCAGAATTCAAAGGTCTCCCTTGAACATAAACCTGAATCATAGAAGCAGTCACAATAGAAAAGCCATGATATTACCATAATGATCAGCGATTTTGACAATTCTTTTCAATAAGCAAATCAGAATCCTGAACAGGCGAACCATGAAATCACTAAATTGACAGTCGTTACCTCCGTGATCTCCCTCTTTATGGACTTTGAAAAACTTGGAACTTTCCATCTCCTTGGTGGTCTTCCTAAGCGAAGAACCCGTCTTTGAAGTGCCATTCTTGAACCAGCACGTATCCATGGATCAAGCAACCCATTTTCAGCCACCTGAAGGCTCTCATCAATATAGCCTAGGTGCTCCAAGTCAACAGATAACCTCAGCGTCCAATATCCTCGTCTTACATCATGTGCGAAAAAACTCAGCAGCTGCTTCAATAAGCCAATTGCATCATTGTACCTGAGAATACAATTAGATAAATAACTGCAATCATATAACAGTGTCGGTAGAACAATAAGCTACATCATAAGCTACACCCATTTTTATGTTGATAAATCCAAACCAAGAGCATTACGATATTATTATGCTATGTGCTGTTGCAATGTTGTCTAAATGTAGTTAGTCGCAGATGCTAAACTGAGAGCCTATCCCGCATCCACTAACATGACTTCAAGAGATAGCCTTGCTTCAGACCAAAATTGCGTTAATTCATTATGTTATTAAGTGGCAGAGAAGAGGAAAAATTCTCTCCTCTCACAAGAGCAAATTCTCTACCCCGTGAGAGCACAAAACGCCCCTTGGTGAGTGAGTTCCATCGGTGTCCTCTCCCCAGCAGCGGTCAGGGAAGAGTGAGTCTAGTGTGTGCGCGTTGGTGTGTGTGTTTGAGAGTTGGAGATTTTGCAAGATCTGAAGATGAGGGCGAGTTCTGTAGTTTTGCTAGTTATGGATTTTATTATGAGGAAATAATATGAAATATATTTTCTTGTATTATTCTTGATCAATAAGAGGGAATATATACACAGAAGAGGAGCCTAGGTATTAATGGCTCATTATTAGGAGATACTATCCTATTGTATAATATCCTATCAAATTATATCTGATTTGATCCTATATTAATTACAATATATCTACATATCTTTACACTCCCCCTCAAGTTGGAGTATAGATGTCAATCATGCCCAACTTGTTACAAAGATAGTCAACCCGAACCCTATTTAAAGCTTCAGTAAGGAGATCACCCAACTGATCACTAGATCTCACGTGGCCTGTTGAGATGAAGTTTTTCTTGATCTTATCCTGAACAAAATGACAATCTCAATGTGTTTTGTGCATTCATGGAACACTGAATTAGAAGCTATGTGTAAGGCTGCTTTATTATAGCACCACAGTTTGACTGGTAATGAGGTTTTAAGACCAACCTCTTTTAGTAACTGATGTATCTAGACTATCTTGCACACAAACTGTGTCATAGCTCTATATTTTTCCTTCGTACTTGATCTTGACACCACATTCTACTTCTTGCTCCTCCAGGACACTAAATTTCCTCCCACAAAGACGCAATATCCTGTAGTGGATCTTCTCGTGGCCTTTGAACTATCATAATCAGCGTCACAAAAGCACTCAATATCTGTATGGCCATGATTTCTATATAGTATTCCACGTTCTGGAGACCCCTTCAAGTAATGAAGCAC